CCCTCCCCTCCCTTCCTTCCTTCCCCCGCCCGCCCTCTCTCCTGTAGGTTCGTGAATATGTGTGTTGTTTGACCAGCTGAAAATGGCGGCTCGGAACGTCGACTCCGTCTAACTTTATGGCATAATAACAAACATAAAGATACATCAGTGCTTCGACCTCGTAACATGGGGACGAACTTATTTGAGAAGCTTCCCACGCTCATCTTGTGAAACGTCACTCGGGCTGCTGCGACTAAACGGCGTCCCTACGTAGAGGTAAATGCTTGGAAAGCTCACAACTGCCGATGCTAACATCGGCTAGGTAGCTAGCGCCAGTTATCAAAGACATTGGAACGGGGCGATCTTACAGCGCCGTGTAATTAATTATCAACACTTAAACACCATCGCTTGTTATCATTTTTAACTACTCCCATTTAGTCGACACTAGTCGATAGTAATAGACGCGACCTAATTGTTTTTTAATCCTTTTTTTAGTCGAAAAGCTAGCCATAGCTTCCTGGCATCACTGTTGGATAATGCTGAGATGTTTAGCTAGCTTCACCTCCGAGAAGAACTCAAGTGTCAAAAAAGAGCCACAACATTGGAGTGCAATGGACTTTTTTTTTCTTTTACGCTTCTCATGAGACTTTGCCTGTCGTTTAGAGACCATGGAGGATCCTCATACACGATACAGCAAACGCCTGGTAAGTAAACTCCTTCCTGACTGACTTTTATCGCCAAAAGCAGCTGATCGTGATTCGTGATACATCTGAACAAGTTTAGGATCGCTTACAAAGTAGGATTAATGTAATTCGTTTGATTCGTGGGCACTTGATGCTGCGGCTCTGGTCAAACTCTTGTTTGTTAGAGTGTGCGTTGTAAAACGGGAGCACTGAATGTGTCTGAACGACTCCAGGTTCAAAAGAGGGTCAAGTTCATTGTCTTGACCTGACAGTGTTGCGAAGAGCTGCTTCACACCCACTATCAGCTTCTTTTCTGATGTCCGAACTGTTATTTATTGTTTGATTGTATTAAATTATCATTTGGATAAAGGGATCCCATCTGGGAGAATTTATGTCTGGAGAAGTCATTTTTAAACCGAACAGCATTTGTTGATAACACTCCAATATTAGCACTGAATGCCCACTGCATTTTCTGGGGGGGAAGAATGTAAATAAAGCACGTACCATATTATTGCGCCATTGTATAAACAATAACGCACTTTTATTTGTGTACAGCGTTGAAGCCCTCAGTTTAAATTAATAGCAGTACAGTTCACTTCCATACAGAGAGGAATGGGGGTGGGGATATCTGATCGCGTTTTTTAGAGCCTGATCCATCTGTCTACCCAACCAGTGTTGCATGTGGTGAGTGGCAAGGGGTGGGGCGATTCAAGGGGGGCAATGTGTGGAATATTAACCCCTGCTCTTTTGTGGTGCTGTATTATTCGGGGCCCTCATGAACTGAAATGGTGTTCTAATTGAATTGATCCTCTCTGTTTCTGGCACTATATTATTAAGACATTGTTTTATTAGATTGTAGCAATTATCTCCGGTATCAGTTCTGGAAAGCAGGTGTCGTTGGGAATCAAGAAGTGTTTTCTTTGTGAAAACAGTATAAATCAAAGCTTTGTTTTTTTTTTTAACCCTCAAGCACATCATCAAGACAATTTGTAGGTATAAGGCTGCCCATTTGTCTGCCCATCTTTGTCGTAATACCAAAATATCTTCAGTAATTTAAAGTGAAGATTAAGCAAGCTATATTACAAACAGAAATTCTGTGGTCTAAGGTTATGATAGTAATGGATTTTTAATTGTTGTGATTCTTCTTTTTTTTTTTTTTTTAAAGAAAATGCTACCTTTTTTTCGGTATTTTGTTTAAATATGGGATATTTATCGGGCCCAATTTTCTTTAAACATCACGGTTTGTATTGTGTTACAACAAAACTGCTTTGGGGTACCCTCGAATGCAAATAAGCATGTACAATGCACTGCACATTACACTCTACACAAAAACAGTTACCAGTAATTGTTTAAAAAAATATATTAAATAGGTTTATAAAAATGTCAATATTGACTGATATGAAATACTTAATAAGCACATTATGTTTAAAAAGGTGTTTATTTAATCCGTAATTTGACCAATTTACAGTAGTTCCTTATTTATCGTGGGGGTTATGTTCCAAAAAGAACCAGTGGTAAGTGAAATCCGTGAAATAGTCACCTTCATTTTTTACAATTATTTCATATAAGATACAATACTGTATTAAATGAAACTAAGAATAAACCTTTTTTTCAGGCCCAAGAACTTGTGTGTGTGTGTGTGTGTGTGTGTGTGTGTGTGTGTGTGTGTGTATATATATATATATATATATATATATATACATATATATACATATACATATATATACATATAAAGATCTTACAACTGACAGTTTTTAGAAATACTGTTGGGAACGTTTTCAACGAGATTGTGGGTTTTGTCATGGAGAAAATTTGGCAAGTTGTACAGCAATGAGGCGCGGTGACTATTGACATTCATCTACAGTCCCTAAGGCAATCATGGTGGAGAACACAACGCACTGTAAAAAAGAAAACAGAAAACTGCACGGAAAAAAAAAATCATTGAATCAGCAAAGCTGTGAAAGATGAAACGTGTTATAGCGAGGGATTACTGCATTAGATTTTTTTTTCGTCATTGAGTTGACTTTTAAAATAAAATTACCTAAATTCAGCCTTTTTGGGGTCATTATTTTCAATAGTTTAAAAAAAAAAAAAAAATTTATATCCACCAATATGAAATCCTTGTATTGTGATATACTTTTCAGTCATATCACATACTCCTAACTGAGTGAAAATCTGAACCTTTACACAAGTCCAATTACAATGTGCATGTGCACCCCTAAAATTTCAGGACAGGAGTCACTTTGCTCCTTTTAATTTGGAAAAACACTGTTTTTTATTTTATTTTGTAGATCAGCTGAAAACAGAGCTAGGAGCCTCTGAAATGTCGAAATTTATGGCATAATAATAAACTCAACTGTACATTATTGCATCAGCCACGCAACATGGGACACAAACTTATCTGAGAAGCTTCCGACACTCATCTTGTGAAACGTCACTTTGGCTGCTGCGACTCAATGGCATCTCAGTCTGGCGTCAATTTTAGTTGTCGCTATTTCATTAGCTTTCGCTAACTATAATACCGTTGCTCTCTATCATATTTTATTTATTTATTTATTAATTTTAATGGGGACTCAAATGCTGAGATTGATTTTCCTTCTCTGTCACCAGCGTACTGGTACGCGTCGGCGGTACCAGGATGACGGAATCTCTGATGATGAAATCGAAGGGAGACGCATGTTTGACCTAGATGAGAAGTTGCATTGCAGCAGGTTTGGATCTCAATTGGTCAAACACATGGAAGGAAAAGGTGAGCTCTCAATGTTTATATCTATAGATAAGTTAGGCTAGAAAAGATTATTTGCATTTGTGTTCTGAACTTTACATCATATTGCACAAATGCACACTCAATTAGCAGCATTCCACCAAGAACCGTTGGTCAACCTATGAGTTGTATTTTGACTCCTAACGTATGTAGAGATGCTA